CAAAGACCTGTGTCAGTAGATCTGTTGCAAAGCATTATGAACCCAGACATAGAGGGTGCAGGCCTTTTAGAAACCATAATCTGCTTATGTGCTAGAACATCTTTTTCTGTTTCTCACAAAGTTACATGTCCCTCCTTGATACTAACATAAAAGGAAAAGAATGACACTGATTATTTTATCCCACCAGCCACAAGATATAATCCTTATGGTTTGAAGAAAAAAAAAGAGCAGGTGAAAGGTTAAATAAAGGTTAGTTGACAGAAGATGAGGAGGAAAGAGCAGGAAATGAGAGATGAAAAGCTGAGGGAGGGAAAAGGGAAGGCAAGAGGATGACAAAAGGAGGGAGGAAGAGATATAGGAAGAGAGGGGAAAGGCCACTGGCAATAACTGCTGTTAGCACACAGAATTGGCTTAATGAAATAAGCATGATCGGGGATCCCCACAACCTGTCTTTTTAAATTGCTCATTACAATTTTACTGCAAGAAAGGCCTGCCCATTTCCCTAGCCTTTTCCTTCAATATCCGCTGAACAAATGCCTCCGAGATCAGCTCTAGCTAATTTCCTTACAGACATGCAAGCTGCTAATTCTGGGAAGTACAGATAGTCAGGAATATCAAATACAACCAAAATTAGATTAAAATAACCTGCTGATAAACAAATTACTCACCAAAAAAAAATACTGGATTAAGCACCGGTGGGAGCGGGGATCCCTATAATAACATTGCCACCGTGTGGCTCGAGGTGCCGAGCGGCAGCGTCCAGTTTGCTCTTTCACACTGCCTTCATCCTTCGAACCCTTAGATAAGGACTTGTCTGTGCTTATGTAGCAAGTGTCCAGTTATCTTCCACTCTTTCAAAACTAGGAATGGTTTGCCTGTTTTGTTTTGGGGAGGTGAGTTCACTAAAAGCAACAGGTCTCTTGGCTAAGAGTGACAAGGAGGGCATGCCTCACCTTCTACCCCTGCTCAGAGTCCAGCTGGGGTATGCCCCCTCCACACCTGGGCCTCTTGTAGGCAAAGGAGGGCTTAGTGATGAGCTCCCCAGGCCTTAAGACAGAACTGGAGCAAGGTACAAAGACAGATCTACAGAGAAATAGGACAAAGCCAAAGAACAGTGGAAAAAGTAGCAGGTGTACCCTGGGACAGAGAAAAGAGACTCTGGGCGGGATGCCATGCCTCATCCCACTTCAGTTTATCTACAGATATCGATGTCTACTCCCTTATCCCCACACTGGGCTGTAGTAAGCATCTAGGAGGAAGGAAGGACAGGTGTAACACTGGAAAGCTTGCCTGTAACATTCAAGAGTAAAAAAATCTCCTGATGCTCTCATGGCACTTCAGCACCATTATAGATATTTACCAAGAAACATGTTCAGCCTATATAATAACATAGTTCCGTCAGAGGCAGTTAACAGCATGGTGGAGACAGATATAAAAAAATGCAGCAAGGCAATGGAGGAAGGACTTGTTACAAGCTGTTTGCTGTGTGCACGTGGGCATGGCAGGTGGAGAACAGCAACAGGGAGAGTAGCATGCAAGGATTGATAATGTAACTCTGGGATGCTTAGAAATCAGCAGTGAGAGACTGGCTGATGATCAAGCAAGAAACAGCTCCATATTGCTAATCCGAGCTTCCACTGATTGAAAGATGCAGCACTGTCATTAGAAGATACCTAGACTTCTATTCCTCCATTATTCACCATGTCTATGACTATCACTGATTTCCACTATGTACAGGGGAACAGGACAACCAAGGTCACTTCCATTTTGCACTGGATTTCCAAGAATTTCTTCCTTGTTGTGGATGAAGCACAGTTTTGTAGTGTCCCATCACTTATTTCTTTGGACAATCTTATACTTCCCCCTCTGAAACATAGCAGCAACAATTTCCCAGGTACAACTGGAGCAGTAATTTTTTTCTTACACTGATGCCTTCTTTCTTGGCCAATCTTGCTGCTTCCAGTTATGCACCTGTTAAGTGGGCATTTAGCATCATCTTCCGTTAGGAAAGAGACAGAGGCCAAAAAGTTTCAGGCAGCCCCTGGCTCTGCAGGTGGAAAAGTCTCAGGTAGAGCTTATGGAAGCCTGAGGAGCTGAAGATGGATGTGTATGAATCCATCAGGGAGGCACACTGCCATCTGCCTGCTCCCTTTAAAATTACAGTGTGTTTTCCCATTGTGGATCTCTACCAAAAGCGAGAGACAGGTACCCTCCAACACAACTCTGTGTACAACCCTCGTGATCACCTTGGGCTGAAGCACATAAGGATACAACAGCTTTACAGGGAGACCCTCAAGAATTAGTGTGTTCTTGTCCTGTCTGTTTTATAGCCTTCACCCTCAGAAAAATCAAATTTAACCACCATTTCCCAGCAAGTGAGTTACTGCTAGTCTCTAAAAAAGCTCACAACAATCAGTCCACCAATTCAGTACTGTAGCACATCCCAGGATTCCTGCTTCCCATTTAGTATGTATCCCATCTAAAACATGGTAACGGGCTTCTGGGTGCTTTGCCATGTACAGTTTTACCCCTTGTTTTCATAAGCAGTTTTCAAGTGCTTTACTATTCACCAGATTTGATTTTTAACTAAGAACCCCTGTACCATTCAAAGGCACTAAGGTCATGGGCATACATAAGTTAACTGTGACAAACAAAGCTGTCCTGATGCAATCATGAAAAAAGAATTCAACTCTTTTTCCAGCCATGGTGAATTTATCTCTGGAAGAACCAGAGCTGTTTTTCACATGTCCTGACTCACACCTCCCAAAAGACACAGCTTGCTCATTTGTATGCAGCTACCAGAGCAGTCTACTACAGAAGCCTGGAGCTTCTTGTGTCCTGAGCCACAGGACAAGGAGAAAACTAAAAGACATTCTTGACCACTTAGCATCAGACTGAAGAACACATAAGAAAACACAGTTCAGGCTGACTTGTGGGCTCTGGTGCTCTATATGAATCCATAGTACTGGCAGCATTTCCCAAATCCCAGTTCTTAAAAGAACATCAGCTGAAAACAGATCATGTGTTTTCCTAAAAATCACTTTTCCATGGAAGCAGTAGCTGATGTTGCAGCAACAGTGTTGCTCATTTGTGAATAATAAAGGAGAAGAGGACACATAACAGCAAACTGGGAAAGCTGTCTCAAAATGAAGAAACGTCTCTCCCAAACAATGCCTTTGTTTGCAATGGTCAACAGTACAAATGAACATGAGAACCCTAATCTGTGCATCACAGTGATCAACCAGAGTGACAGTGTGTGGACTGCTTTGGTCAATAAACTAAACTCTCATTGGAGTTAATTTTTGGTACCTTCTGTGAAATCACCTGAAACAACCAACCAAAATGATTAGTGTATTCTTCCAGCACTGGAAAGTCTCTATGCTCTTCCTAAAGCAAAGAAAGTGTAAAGGGAAGAACCAACCAAGATGCCTTCACAACCTATATTGGCCAAAAAGAGTCACACAGAAAATTTTGAGGATTAAGTGGCTTAAAAAAAAAAATATGTTGCTTCACTCCAGGAGAAAACGGGCTTGTAGAATTTAGAAGCTGAATGCAATCCTTTTAGATTCCCTAAATCACTCTCAGCTCCCCCCCAACTTTCACATGTGTTTCCAACTCCCCAGGAGACAACATTTCACAGCTTTCCTTGGTAATTAGTCATCCACTTCTACATACTGTTCTCATCTCTAGACCTAGAACAAGCTTCTAGGTAGAAAGCTTACCCTATAAATATCTTGGGACAACAGAATTTCACTTTCTATTCCTAGTATTTACCATAAAACAGGAGTGCAGGAGAAAAGCTTAAACTGCCAGATGAACTTTCAGCTCTTGCTCCACTTTTCCAGCCTTCTCTGTAAATTTCTTTTTACTTTGAAGGCTAATTTTGCTTTTGTATTGCAAGCAGCTGTGGTGTAGCCCCACAACCAACCTTATTAAGATTTAGTGCCCAGACCAGAAGGTCTTTTCTTGTTGCAGTAATGTGACCTTTAAATCTAGGCAGCAAGGTTAATACCGAGGCATTATTTCAAAATTCATCACTTGAGGGGCTGCAACTCAGACACGATCCCATTGCAGCATGCTCATTTAAGCACTGCTTCCAGGGCTACAATTTTTCACAAATGCATTTATTTCTAATACTATGAAAAAGAGAAGGGGGAGGGGAAGAAAAAGGAAGAGAGAAGAACAATACGCCATTGTGATATATTTTAGAGTAGATTGTCTGCAATACTAGAGTGCTCTTTCTTAATCAAAGCTTTATTAAATTCTGGTAATAAAAAGCTAAGTGTTTTCAGATGGGATAAAGGCAAAAAAGGGTAGCACGTTCACTTCAGGAACAGTCACGCCAGCAGTGTGTGACTGAGAATCCATGTTAAGGTCTTCAACATCCACATCCAGCTGGTACAAATGTTAAGCACAGCCTGCCATAGCAGGGTTGTACCCCAGCAATCACTAGATCTCAGCACTGTCTGCATATTATCAGACCTAACAAGCTTGCAGGGGAGAATAAGGTCATCTCTTTTGGACTACAGAAGTTTTCCAAGCCTTTGCTAACAGCCTCAGGTAAGAACATAGTACAACAGCACCACAGCACAGACAGGTCCTGGCCTCATCCTCCAGTGATGCTGGAACAGAGCAATAATCATTCGTCACTGGATGCAAAGGTTCCCCATTTCTTCTACTGTACTGAGTCCCAGGACAAGCACTGTTCCCTAAATACTCAGAATATGGGTCTTGTTTGGTTCCCTCAGCAGCTTGCTCCCTGGGACTTAGGGCACCATCTCCCATAGAGCTGTGTGTCCACAGAGCCATGGGGCTCCAAGAATCATAGCTAGACTTATAGGAAACTACTTCATTACTGCCTCTCTTTTCTAGCAGTGCTCTTTGGAACTGAGGGAAGAGGGGATACCAGGGGAGAATGAGGTTCAACAGGATCATTCTGTCCAGCACCACAGCACAGAAAAGAAAGTCAGAAAGAATATGAATTAAAAAAAAAAGCTTACTTGATTTCAGCAAAGCTGCCAGAGCCTCAATGGCTGCCCTGGGGAAAGAAGAGAGATGGAGAAATAATGTTAATTGTTTTCAATAATTTTTGTGACCTTCATCTTCACAGTCTTCTGGGCCAGGCTTCCCTGCTGGTCTAAACTGACAGCTTATGATCGACTTTGACAGAACTGTGGTGTTTTACACCAGCAGAGAATCTAGTGTTTGCAGCTGACTCAGTTATTCTAAAAGGCTCTTAGCCCTCTAGCTTCAGTGTTACACTGATTTGTAGTGACCATTAAATTTAAAGCAACACCCACATATCCAAAGTAATGAAGCAAGTCTTTAAACTGTTGCTCAAGAGCTATTTCTTTCTATCAGAGACTCAGCACATGCCCACTCCAGATACCAATGCTTCTATCTACATCAGTAGATGATAACTTCTGCATCAAGATGGGACATCCATGTCAGTACTTCCAACCAAGTTCCATTCCCTTCTCCATTTTCTCAAAACAAGCTTTACCCCTGTCCTCCCTCCCACCAGCTTTAACTGAAAAGAAAATGTAATTCACTTTAATTACAACAATGTTTTGCATTGCAGCATCATGTAAAGGTCCCCACTCAGATCAGGACCTGTAAGAAAGATGCTAAAGCTCTGTGGTAACACTGCTTGCCCCATTGAGCTTAGAGAGTAAGTAGCTGGAGTGGAGAGATACACAGAGATTTCTATTGACCTTCTGCATCATTTCAGTGTGCAGATAAGCAACTCAACCTACCTGAGTCATCATAGTAGTGGTTTGAATGGGAGCTGGTCACTAATATTTGTAGCTTGAAAAGCTGTACTGAGACATCCTTGCTCCCCGCCACCTGGAGGCAAATTTCTTCCTCATGTGGTATAATCTCCATCCCACCAGCCCCACAGAACACTTTATTTTCCAGTCATGCTCTGCTGGAGCAAGAAGATCTATGTTCTAACATGGCTTACCGCTGTGAAGTTTCAAGTGCCCACAGCTGATTAAATAAATACAGCTACAAAATCCTCCATGTCCAAGTATTCCTTAAAATATAATCTCTTTACAAACCAATCCCCAAATAAAATCATATTAACTTCCATACTGAGCCAATTATCATCCTGCAGAAAAAAAATAAATATTCTTTGTCATCAAGCTGCTGTTCTTTGTGTGTCCTAAGAGTAGCTGAAACCATCAGAGATTTAAGAGCTGATTCCTGCTGATGTTGGGTCGACATCCTTATCTAATGTCATTTTGTCACTGTTGAACTTTGACAGATTCATTGCAAACAAACTGCAAAAGAAACACACACAAATACAGGTAGAACAGGAAATCAGTAGCTAAAAATCTCACCAGTGGGAGCACAGTCATGCTCTCATTGCTTCTTTAACTCCACCTGAACAGCAATCATTCAGCTGGTGGGAGGAATACTGTATTCCACCAGCTATTCAGCATGCTAAGAAAAGGAATAAGTTAAAGCCACTAATCACTCAGTCTTTCCCTGAATTTAAAGTTTGAGACAAAGTAAATGGCTGTATGCAAATTAAAATTCCATCCAAAGCATTGCCCCAAAGCTCACACTCATGTACGTGTCTTGTAAAGGAGACTACATTACATACCGACATTTGCAGGCTTAAGGTGATGTCTCAATCACATGTCAGAACAGCAGAGCAATGAATGAAGGACCAGAGAGTTTCTGGCTCCAAGCAGAAGAAATCTAAGGATCTCCCTCCTGTAGGCATCTAGTTTATTTTGGGGGTGCTTATGAGCATTGCAAAGAGTTTCAGTAGAGTTATGCCACTGTCGTAATACCAACACTGCCAGCAAAATTCCCATCAACCAATCAATCAGAAAATCCAGACTCTTCAATACTATTTGGGGGTCTGTAAACCAGATTGCATTCAGAAAACTTCATTCGTCTTCAGAGACCTCAGGCCTCCCAAACCACATTCTCACGTAGTGTAATCTATTCCTACTGTATTTGAGTACTCATTCTCTCTAATTCCTTATCACACTTGCTCCAGAAGACCTAAACTCTTCCTGGCCATACCATATAGCTGATCCTTCAACAGCCTTAACTACCCTTGATCACTTCTCCAGGCTTGGAGAGACCTGATCTGGTCTGAGTCAATGGATAAGACCTATTTGTGCTTTTGATGTGACCTGCTAGAACAGGTTTGCAACTGCTTTCAAACCGAAGACTATCACAAAGATGTAAGTCCACCCAGATGGTACTGAGGGATGGAAAATTCAAACATGTCCTGAAAAAAAAAAAAAAAAATTAAAGGTGGTATCACCCAGAACCCAGCACCACCACTCAGCAGAATCAGACATTTTCATAATCACCACCTACTTCTGAAGTGACACTACAGACTTACAGCTGTAGCTAGCTGGGTTTCCCACATCCCAGGCTAACAGCTTAGACATATGTCTCAGTCCATGCCTGTACACAGTATGGCAATAAAGTGGAACCAAACTAGAACATTTAATGTCTTCAAGTCCTGCAACTCTTCACAAGGATTTTGGCATAGGCAATATACAGTGTTCTGTATGTCCTACCGCATGTACTCTACAGTTAGTCATAAGTAGGTGCAGATCCAGTAGACTGACTTCAACAGTATGCATTGCATTAGAACAAATTTTGAAAGAAAATATAACTGAAGACTTGAGGGTAAACTGCAAAGCAGATAAAATAGGTTTAAGAGATAAAATGGACTTACCGAGAATAGATCAAGCCAGTCTAACTTGGTAACTTTATTTGATAAGATAACTGATTTTTCTAGACAAGGAAAACGTGGTATATCTAATTTATCTGTACTTCAATAAAGCATTTGATATGGTGCCACACTGGAAATTATTAGCCAAGCTAGATAACATGAGGATTAGTGTAAGAATTGAAACATGGGTTAGGAACTGGTTAAAGAGGCAATGACAGAAGTTGTGCCAAAAGAGGAATTATTAGTCTGGATAGAAGTTATGCGTGGAAGTCCTCAAGGATGTTTTGAGACTGATCTTATTTTATCTTTTCATTAATGACCTTGGCACAAAAAGTCAGAGCATGCTAACAAAATCTGCTGATGGTGTGAAGTCAGGAGCTGCTGCCAATATCAGAGAGTTTGTAATATCTTTCAGGAGTAACAGGATTTTCTTGAATTCTGAAGCAATAGAAGTGTGATGAAATGTAATAGTCAAAGTGCAAGGTTATGCATTTAGGGTTTAATAAGAATTGCTGTTATGAGCAGGGGCTCATAGTTTGGAAATGAGTAGAAGGACACCCTGGATATATGAGCCCATTAGAGGATGAGGACAAGCATGACCCAGCAGGGTGACAACCATGAAAAGGACAGATCAGGTCTCAGGAAAACCACTGCCAGTGGAGAAGGGAAAGCATGAATGTTTTCATAGAAGGCTTCACCTGAACAGTTGTGTGCCATACTCTGAAGGAACCATGCAGAAAAGTGATAAGGAAATAATTATGGTAACTGAGACATATCTCATGAGAAGAATTAAACATTACAGTTTTGTCACCTTAGCAAAATGATGGTCAAGAGGTGACTTGTTTGTTCTCCATAGACACACCGGGTGGGGGAGAAGTAAACACCAAGGCAGGCAGAGAGTTACTTCATCTAAAGAACAAACTTGGCACAAGGATAAATGGGTATAAAATGGCCATGAATAAATTTCAACTGGAAATTAAAGGATGGTTTTTAAGCACTGAAAAATGAAGCTCTGAAACATCCTCTTGGCAGAGATGGGACGAACAACCTAATGGCTTTGAAAATGGAGACTGAATTGCTTATAATGGGACTGTTATGGTCAGTTGCCAATGAGGAAAGGGTCTGAATAAAATGACCCAGGAATGACTATAGTCTTATATCCCTACATTTTAATCCTAGATAAATAGAAGTGAAATGAGAAACAGGTATTCTAAGCATAAAGTTGGTTTGCCAGGCCAGAAAAGAGCAGCTGCACCAGCTTGAACTGAAAGTCTAAATAGTCTACTATCCTGTGGCTAACAGTGGCTAAGGGAAGCATAGAAGACCACAGCAAAACCACAGTGCTAGAAATTCCAGAACAGACTTAGACTCTCTCAATTTTCAGTCCAGAGATTTCAGAAGCTAGAAATGGTGCCTTTGGGAGGCTTTTTACCTCTTAGATGATTTTGCTTCCATATATTTGCCTGGGCACTTTTGAACTTATGCAAACTCTTAGCATCCACAAATATCCTGCAAAAATAGTTCACACCTATCCTGTGTAGAATTATCTACCTGTATTTGTTTGAAGTTTGGACTTTAAATCAGCGTTGTAATTTACACTTTAAGTCAGCTGTCAGCAAGTGTCCCCAGAATATTACCCATCTTTGATGCTGGACAAATTCAAACATACAAAATTCCCTATGGGAAACAAGTAAGAAGACATAGAAGAGAATTCAGAATGGACTTCCACAGAAAACAGCAGCAAGTTGATGGATGCATCAATAGGCTTACATCAAGCCAGACAAATGGCGTTTGCAGTAATATCGGCATCTCTTAACACCATATGGCAAATCAACAGCATCTTTTCTGGCATCAGAAGATGAGATGAGTAAGCCTGGGACAGGATGACAGAGAGAAAGGAGATAATAAATTGTGCATGAGAGCAAGGACAGGGACAGGGAGGGGGGAGATGGGAACAGGAGGAAAAGTTTAAGAGAACAAAAAAGATGACTTGATGAGCCATATGCTAGACCAGAGAATTTGATAGTGCGCCCAGTGCAGAACTCTGCATTTGTCTCAAGAAGGAATGGGGGAGAGAAAAGAAATCATTAGAAAACCTGCCAAATCTGTCCAGATGCCTTCCTCTGATTTTCTGTTCTTTGTGGTAACGTTAGCAAAATCTTAGCTGTTTTGTCAATCCCAGTGTATCTCAAAGGAGACTCATTTATATATTTCAGAAAAAAAGACATATAAATAAAGTTGCCCTATATTAAAAGGCATAATAATAAATGCTGCTCCCTAATCAGAAAACATTAAAAACTCCCAGTAGTAGCAGTTGAGACAGCCACTCT